ATATATATATATTTATATATATATATCTCTATATCTTAATATCTTATATATATAAAAACAATCTATATATATTCTTCTATATTCTTTCTATATAATTATTACAATATATATATACATTCTATAGTTATATCTCTACATATATCTATATATCATCTATATATATAACTATATATAATATCACATATATATATAACTATATATAATATCTCTTAACTTATAGATAATAAATATATCGATAAGTAATATCTATCATATATATATATAATATCTATAAGCTCTATGTACAATCTATTATACATATTCTATAGATAATATAGCCTTATATTATATATATAATCTATCTATCTATACTATACCTACCTATGCGTGCGTGATACATTATCTATAATTTATTATCGTATCATATATATATGGAGATATATATATATATCTACCTCATACTAATCCATACAGACACTCCGACATCAACAAAAAATAACCCATACAACATACATACATACCACATCATCATACATACACCCACACACACCCCACACACAACACCACACCAACACACACACACCCAACACACACACACACACCACACACAATATATATATATGATATTATTTATGTATGTGAGCAATTAATATAATATATAAAATATATATATATATATAGGATATATAGATAAAATTATATACTATATACTACAATATATTAAAAATATTAAATCTATATCAATACACACACCACACACAACACCCACACATATATATAGTATATATATATATCATATTATATATATAGTAGTTGATTAGGTATATATATACTATATATAATATATATTATCTCTAATATATAAATATAATAATAAGATAACTCATGTGTGGTGTGTGAGGGTGTGTGTGTGAGGTGTGGTGTGTGTGTGTGGTGGGTGGTGTGTGTGTGTTTGTGTGTGTGTGGGTTCTCTCAAGTTATATGTGTTTGGGTATTGTGAAAATGTGTGTGTGTGTGGTGTGTGTGTGTGTGTGGGTAATTTATATATATTTATATATGTTTATATAGATATTTATATATTTTTAGATATATATTATAATAATATTTATATATTTTTTATATATATTTTATATTATAGTATATATATATCTATATATCTATATAGATTCTAGATATATCTATTATATTAATAAAAATATACTAACCTACATATATATATATTCTATCTTAATGTTTGTGTGTGTGTAGATTATCACTATATAAATCTATATATATATCGACACTAAATATATATATATCTATTATAATATATATATATATATATATATATATATTAGATCTATATATATATTTATTATCCTATATACTATATCTATATTATCTATCGATAGGTATATATAAAATATATATAATATATATATATAAATATATCGAACTCATATCTATTAAATATATATATATATAAATACTATATATATATATATCTCTACGTGTGTTGTGTGTGTGTGTATGTATGGTATATATAAATATAATATAGCATAATGAATGTATCTCTAAATATATCTTGATTGAATGTATATATAATCTACTATAGATATAAATCTAGGATTAATGCATATAATAAATATACATAAGATATAAATCTAAATTCACATCCTAGATATAACTATAAATATAGATAATAAATATATTGAATATAATATATATAGATATAATATATAAGTATATATATCATAATATATTATATATTTATACTATATTATAAATGTATAATGTATAAGGTCTATATGTATATATGTATATCATATATGTCCTACTATTTACTCTCATGTATATATGGTCTATATTATATACTCTTCCTATATGTCATCTATGCATAGCTGTCTACTATGCCTAGCTCTATATATAGAATATATATCATATATATATATCTCATCAGTATATATATATCTTATTACCTCATATTTTATTTAGCCTTACACCACACACACACACACACACACACACATATAATATATATTATATATATATATCTATATATATATATATATATATATATATATATATATATATATATATATATATATTATATATATATATATATATATATATATATTTATATTTTTATTTATATATATATTTATACTTATATCTATACTTATATTTATATCTATATTTATATCTATATTTATATTTATATCTATATATGCATATACATACATACATACATACATACACACACACACACACACACATATATATATATATATATACACATACATATGTAAGGTATATGTGTGTGTGTATGTATTTGTATATATTACACAACTTGATATATCGTAAATTTTAATCGTCCTATAAATAGATTGGAAAAATCCATATTTTGCGTACTGATAGAAGATAGAACCCCGTAAATTTGTGATCCCACATTTCCTAGTTCCCTTCTTTAGATTGTAGGAAAAGGACGCTAAACAACTCCGCTTCCCAAAGTTCCTAGTTCCTCATCTTCGCGTCGCCCAGACCGCTTCGCCAATCAGCGCCCGCAGATCAGATCACGTGACCCTCTCCGCAAATCATAGCCGGGCGCTTGCCCACGTGACCAACTTCTGCCAATGGGGAGGAGCTGACCTGATGTGACCCGCGCGGATTGTTTCTTAACGTCGTCTCCGGAGGTGTAGCATGTCATAACTTGCTTGAGTGTGAGTAGAGCAACAGTCTCCATGAGCTCCTCTCTTCTTTGCCTGTGCAACTCAGTGACAAGTCAACCCCTGCTCCCTTCATCGGCCACGTATCCAGCAACTTGTGCGAAACAACAAGGACAGGTATGGAAGCAACAGAAAAACTTCGGCTTACAAAACGATCAAGGAGTGAGGCTAGGAGGCTCCTACCCGTTAGACGGTTCTGCAATCACGTCACCGGGTAGGATTCATCCAAGTCTTCCTTCAAGAAATCCGTCGATCCTATACCCTTAGATCGTAGATATCTACGTAGCATCCAACAGGCGTTATTCCTAAATTGTGTTTTTTTGTTGTGCGAAGCTTCATTATTCACACATGAAGCTTCTTAACGGTTTTGCAAGTTTCTAATTGCTAAAAACTAGAACAGTTCGTCGAAATGTCTTTAGGATTGTTGGTCAGTATAATTTTTTTTTGAAGCGAAAGCTGGGTCATCCTTGTAAAAGTATGTCAGTTGATGGGTGTGTATCTGGTTTCATGAAATTCTAATACATGACTAGATACGACACTCATCCACTGCTGTGCTATTATGTCCATCCCGAAGTATATATTTTCTGCCCTGCGGTTCGGTCTCAGTAACTGTCGTGTGACCTTTCTTTGGTGGTCTAGCTGTATGAGCGAGTGCCGTGGGTCATAAAGCTAGATCAGCAAGGCAGGGTATCGCGTCCGATTCTTCTCCGAAGTTCCCATGAGTGAGATGGCAAGGTGATCGCATAATAAGGAAAATAGTAGTATGATATCCACGTATTCATTTTTTATATTCTGTTCTAGATGTTGCCTTGGCTGTGTGAATCGCTGGGGCTGGGTGGGGGGAGGTATCAGCGGGAGACGGCGCGTCAGGTCATCTCCGACGTGGGTTTGATGGACTCAGGTCAAGTGAGGTCAGGTCAAATGGGTTTTGGCATGGTAATTACTGCTTTACTCGCCCTAGGGATTTCCATTGTAAGACGGTTCTTCAGCCGGACCATTTGTTAAGACGCTCGCGCCCCGTCTAGGAACTTTAACTGTGCGTGTGAAGTACGGACCATATCACAGTTGAAGTTACCTAGATGGTCGCAAGGAATAAATCACCGTCACTGGACGTCAAAAGAGGGTCTGAGAACTGCAACCCAGAGTGGCCGCCCGTGGCTGGTTCTTGTGAGTGGCGAGGGCGTGCATGTTCCTAGCACCATGAGATTCAGCTACGGTGGGGCAGCACGACTCGCCGGAGACCCTGGCTTCTTCGCCTGCACAGGGAGTTCCGAGACTACTTGGTGGAGTGTAAGCGGGTGGATCCTTCTCGGCCGACGACGAATGTTGCTGCGCCACCGGGAAAGATTCATCCGCGTCCTCTCCTGCATCTCTTCGCGTCGCCGATTCTCTGCGTGAGTTACCTTCAAATCGGACTTGGATGGATCTTACTCGGTCAGACGCTGAATTCATGTCGTCACCGGGAAAGACTCATCCATGTCTGCCGTGGCTGAGCGCGGTGCGAAACATTCATCCAGGAACAACAATATGAACTAAGTTACGATGGTCGACTAGAGTTTAGGAACTGACACTGTGGTAGGTTTTTTGGCTTCTTATCACAGTGCTAGTTACCTGAACCTGGGTTGTCCTCTATCCGCCCAAGGTTTCTGCCTTTAGTTGAGGTACGCTTTCTTCTCCGATTTTACGGGCGATCGTCTGTCCAGATTCATGAATCAGCGATTAACGCGAATTTCGCTGAAGATCCACTTGCGGAGGGGCATCAGACAGGCGGTAAGTGTGGCAAAAATAGCTTCCTGTGTTATGACCTGACCAGGGTAGCAGCTGAGTACGTGACCTGAGTGAGGTGCACTATTAATAGTGAGGGTGCGATTACCCGCCCCGATGGGCGTCCGCCCTTTGTTATATGGGTACAATAATCTACATTTTCCTCTGCAGCTGGTCAGGCTGTGTACAGCTGGGGAGTGTGGATCTGGTGCATGTTTTCATGGTCATGACTAGATCCAACACTCATCCAGCTGTGACTGCCACAAACGACTTTTGTGTCTGTAATGTCCAACCAATTAATATATTTTGATATGATCATGTCCTATGCATTTCAACCCGTCGGCCACTCTGCTCGCCTTTTAGCAAAATAAGGCTCCTCAACCCGGCCCAGCACTCCTGCTCGGATGCATCTCGCTTCGGTGGTGTTGCCTGTCCCATCACCGGGTGAGATTCATCCAGGTGACTTGTGCCTGTTCCTCGTGTTGAATGACTTGTGTTTATAGCGCTAGGAGAAATATTAAAACACTTTATCGAATGTATATCAGTACTTACCTTATTTCCAAGGCACTGGAGAAAATCGTCTCGCATGGCCGAGACAGCTACTCTGTCGTGAGGTCGTTTGGGGCCTGACACCGAGGGAACGACATCCGCCAGGTCCAACTCCACTTTCTGTTTAGACCGTGAATTGTGTGTAAATACAAATATCCACTTATTCCGACACAAATATTTTTTTTTCCAAATACAATGATAAGCGATCTCACCTCGCTGAAGATTGGATCCTGAGAGGCATCCGAGAAGTCGCGGAACATCCGGACCGCCTTGAGGTATGCTTCGATTTGTGCGATCTTGGCTTCGTCGCGGTCTGGAGGGTTGGTCGATTATCATTATTTATTATTTTGAGATTTGTTTGCATATTTTTTACCTCCATGTTGAGTGTAATGCTAATGCGATTGTCATTATTATTTATTATATTGAGACGTTTACATATTTTTACTTCCATGTTGAGAGTAATGTCAATGCTACAGATGTTCCCCTTATACTCACTGCTCTGTCTCAGATAAGCAATGGTTGTGGTGTCGACCGGGAAGAAGCCGATGGTGGCGCCGTACTCTGGGCACATGTTGGAGATGGTGGCGCGGTCGGCCAATGACAGCTGCTGCACGCCTGGCCCGTAGAACTCCACGAATTTCCCAACAACGCCAACCTGCCTCAGATGCTGAAACCAAGAGCAACAGTATTTGATGAATGGTAGGGTAGTTTGTGAAGTAAACCTTCTATAACTACATTCTATATTTTTCCCTATGCAGTAGTTACAATCCCTGTCAAGGATGTAAGGGTGGTTCCATATTAGTAAAAATAATGCAGTTGGATTTCTATTATACAAGTAATATACTTTTTTACATTGTGGGTTTTTCTACCATAGTATCAACACGGTAGAGTGTTTTCCTCATTCAAGTAATATACTGTACGGTAATTTTGTGGGTATTGCAGCTGATAATAAATATGTGATTGTAATCTGTTATGTGATAATTAAAATGATCTAAATATTTAATAATCAAATAACATGATGGTATCTGAACCACTTTCAGTTTGTTCAGCTCAGTTTGTTAAACCGTAGTGTTTTTAATCCTACAAGTTTCAAGTAACAGTTATTCCAAAATGATAACTGTTGTTGTAAACTTTTAATGCATATAAAGTTTACATTATATAGTAAGACATTTCATTTGATTCTGATACTTGTTAATTCATGGAAGACTAGTTGTTTCTACAGGTATATATCTGATTACTAATTGTGACAATGGTTTTACACCCATTGTCAAAAGGTACAGTTAAATTAATTTCAATTATTTATGCATTTGGAATAAAAATCATGTTATAGTTACGAATCAACATTGCACTTTAGTCTGAGAGATTAACTACCTTGGTGATTGTTAGAACCACATCAGTAGAGGTGGCAAGAGGAGAAAGATTTCCAGTGATGCGGTAGCCTACGACTTTTGGGAGGACCATGGACACTGCCTGGCCAAGCATCACAGCCTCTGCTTCAATTCCTGGCCGCCAAAAGAAATGTATTCATTTTATTTTAGGAGTTGATTATAATAGCAAGCATGTACACTCCACACAAATTGGAACTTGTCCAAACATTATAATTGTTGTTTAAATGGACCAATGTAATATATATGTTGAAGGATGTAAAATATATATTCCCCTATAGAACAGAGTATATTTCTGCCTTTAGTGAAATATCATAAATAACTATAGCTAGATTTAATCAGAAACTGCCCATTTTCTGATTTTTAGCTGACAGCATGGATTATGTCTAAATCCATTTTGTTATCTCTATATGCACTGGCATAATTGATCAGATCAGTATCCCCTATTCCTCCTCCCCTCCTGCTTACATTAGATTACTTTGCTTGCTTTCTTGTTATCCTAAATTGTAATTGGTGATGATAAATAATAATAATAATCATAATAATGACACTCATCATGGAGAACATTATGATACCTGATCTTAATTTTGCCTGATCATGAGCATACCTCTAGCAATAGGAGACTGTGCCCTCAAAGGAATAAATAGGACCCATCACTGTTGAACTCCACCTACATTACTATGTGCAGTAAAGGCTTTTGTAGACAAGCCTTTCAATGTTTCAGGGTGGAAGTAGGCCTTTAATTATATAAAACATCAAAATATTAAGTATGATACTCACCTCCAACACCCCAGCCAACAACCCCCAAGCCATTAATCATGGTTGTGTGCGAGTCTGTCCCCACCAGGGAGTCGGGGAACAAAATCTCATTCTCCTCAAACACAACTCTTGCTAGATACTCCAAGTTTACCTGTTGATGGGAAACAAAATTTGAGTGAGTTGATTCACTGAAAATTCCACAAGTAGATAAGAGTAGTTTAAAAACAAAAAAGGGATAAATGACACACCTGATGGACAATGCCCGATCCTGGAGGCACAATCAGCATGTTCCGGAGAGCTTGTGCTCCCCACTTCAGGAAGACAAAGCGTTCACGATTTCGCTCAAACTCCAACTCCTGGTTCTTCTGCAGAGCATTGGACCTAGAAGGAGAGTGCAAACAGATACACTTTCTGGGAATCCATGAGCACAAACTAGCTGTCAATTACTACTAATGATCCAACTTCAAATAAGGAGTGGAGAGTGAGAGAGGATATGAAATGAGGGTAAAGCTCTATATGAAAAACAAACAAACAATATAGGTAAGAACTAATTCTATAACAAAGACTGCATATATATACACATAAAACTATTTATCTGCAAGAGAAACTATTCTGAGAATGAAACTGCATATAAAAATACATGAGGACCTTAAATGTTTTGCAAGAGTTATTAAGACCTACGATGTTTCTGCAACAAACTTTTACTGATATAATGGCACAGACTGAACACTTGCTAGATTTAATATGTATCACTTCCAATCTTTGCTTAATGCATGCTTTTTCAAACAATGCTCACTAAAAATGTATAATGTATTAGCTGAAAATGGCCAGACAATTTCAACTTTTGAGAGGTTTTAGTTATAGCAGTTTATCAAACAAACTAAAGACAGTAGGGGGAAAGCAAAAGCAAGTAAACTGCATAAAGTAAAACGATGGAACTATTAGTCACCACCCTGAGAATCATTTTTGGTATAACCATTAGTGCCTATCAATTTAATACACTAGATCAGGGGTCAGGGAACTTTTTTTTCTTGTCACCCCCAAATTTTTTAGTAAAGTGAATTTACCTTGTAGTACAACATTCTACAAACAAATTTCCTTAAAAAATAATGGATGTGCTATATATTTAAAAATATCAGAAAATGACTCCACTATCATAGGGAAATAAAACTCATTCTAGCACTCAAGATTTCTTAAAATTCCTGCCAAAGTGAACTGATTCAAATTTAAGGCAACTGCATGGAGGCTGGGTTACTGCCAGCTGCACAATGCAAAGTACATGAGTAAACCAAGGCTTCAATTGAAGTGCCATTCATATCATATGAATTAACTCCTGAATTTATAAATATACCCCATTTGGGATAATTTACCCCTGTTCCCCAACCACTGCACTAGACCTTGACAAAAAATCTACCAATATGCAACCATGTAGTCTTAGAATGTCATAATCAGATCTTGCATAGTTTTAAATGATGCCACCTACTCAAGCCTCTTTTTAAATAAAAACAAACAAACAAACAAGAACAAGCCAAAATAAACAAAAAAAAAAACAAGCCAAAATAAACATTTAAACTGATCACTGAAAATGCTAACCATTCAGACTGCCGTTCATGGAAAGGACAAACTTCATCCTGAATGGGTATCCCTGGGACATCCAGAGGAGAGGGCAGGGATGACATAGACAATCTTAATGAAGGGGTTTGAGATGCATCACTCTTGGTACTGGAAGTATCAGACATGCTGGCAGGGTCTTCACTGCCTCCGGGTCTTCTTCGGGTTGATGGCATTTGCCGTGACCTTTGGGACCATCGAGGTCTAAGTGAAATATCTTCCAAGTCCATGGTTTGAACCTTTTCTAGGTCAGACAGCTGTCGAGGTTCTGGGGTTGTAGGTCTGCTGCCAGAATTACTGCCATGGTACTGTATATAAGGTGAACCAGTATAATAAGAATGATGTTGAGGTAAGCCTATTTGAGCTGGATGTGGTGTAGGATAGAGAGGGGGCTGATAGCTTGGTACCATGGCAGTATACTGTACAGGCTGACACTGATAATTTGCCATTCCTCCTACACTATCTCCTAATGTTAAATTAGTCACCATAGTTGGAAGCTGGTTGGGTTCTGTGGAAGTGGCAGGCTGGAATGCCCAAGGCTGTTGGACACCAACCACAACTGTTCCATTCACTGGAGGACTGGTTGGCACTAAGTATATTGGTTGCTGTAGAGACTGCTGATTTAAGTTTGGTGGGGGAGGAGAATAGACTGTTGGGCTTGTTGCTCTAGATGTCACCATAGGAGAAGCTGGATGAGACCTTGAAATATGAGCACTTGACCCACGTGCTCGTTGAAGTCTGGAATTAAGGCGTGAACTTGTCCGCATGCCCCTTTGAGCAGAAGAGATACATCCTGGCTGGCCATAGTTCACGCAACGGCCACAAGACTGTCCAGCCAGACTGCCCCCTCCAC